GACAGATCAGGACAATAGAACACAAAATACAGAATCACTTAGGAGAAATACTTCTACACAAGAATACTACACTACATCCAACCTCAACCCTTCTAACATAAAATCTCATAGTTCTACACATCCCCCCATCTATATTCGGTAAATCAAACCACGTCAAACTCTTGGACGCTCTCAAAGAGAAATACGAGATCGCTTTCCAAGTCAAGTTCACATCTGAAAATCATGTTCGCAAGTTCAATGATTTTATTGATTTCAAGAAAATTTACCAAAAAAAGAAAACATTGAATATCATACCTACAGAGTTAACAAACAAAAGACAACCACTGTAGTCCTCAAAGAACTCATTAAACTCCCTGTAACTAGAATATGTAATAACATTAAAGATCAGAGCCTAAATCCAACTCATTGTACAGAAATTCCTACATACACAAAATACCCGATCTATCGAGTTACCTTCGAACCCGGGACAACTATTGATCAAATAAATCACGTCAGATATATTGAAAATATCGGAATACACTGGAGAAAATTTGAGACACATAAACTCATCATCCAGTGATTTCGATATCAAGCTCATGGCTATATTTCAACTAATTGCAATAAAAAGTCTTTATAAAGTGTGCTGGACCACACGACTCTAGAAATTGTAAGAAAACACTGGAAACTCCACCTGCATGTGATAACTACACAAGGGAAACCACCCAGCTAAATTTTTTAAAAGCCCTGCTTTGCTAGCTTTTATTTCAAAGAAAAAAAAAAATACCTACAATAACAAAATTCAAACAGTTCTTTAACCGTCACTCATCCCAACACACACACATATTTCCTCAGCCTTCTCCTCAACAAAACTCCTTACACCTCCTACATTTCCTACAATTCCCTTTCCACCTATCCCACTCATAGACTAAAACATGGACTAACCTATGCAAAAGCGTTAACATCTTAACAATTTCTGCACCACTCCTTGCCAAATAAGTTACACAACAATTCTTATATCACAAAACAAATAGACTTACTTAAATCAACTAATCTCGATATATTTCTCCGAATAATTTCACTAATACCAAAACATTATATAAAGTCCACCAACAATCTGGATAAAATCAAAGCTACAATTTTAATACTCAAAGAATTGGAAAATGGCCACTCATAAAAACCTACTGAAACTCATTATGGAACGCAACTAATGTCAGAAACAAAACAACAGAACTTCACAAATTTCTTACGGACCACATCATCGGCGGAGATTTCAACGCTAAACACCGCATTTGGAACAATATAAATAGAAATGAGAACGGATCAACAATTAAAAAATCACTTCTAAGAAATTATCAAATCATCTACAGTTCAACTTTCAATGTACCATATCTTTTCAACTACAGAACTATCGATGACCTATCATCAAATCATCTCCAAATAGAACTTTCCCTTACACATGCACAAGAGAAAATAAAAACATACAAAGACGGATTACACAAATTAGGTTAAATATTCCAAACTCTGCAGTAGAATTAACATTAATCCTAACCAACAAATCTGACATAGACACTGAAATCAAAACCTCCACTCAATACATTCAAAACGCATGTCTCAAAATGAACACATAAATTATCTCAGCTCACAACATAAAGCCAATCACAGGCCTATTCCTCTCTGGCATGATAAAAAATAGAAATAAAATGAGAATAAAATTCTGGCATTCCATTATACAGACTGTACAGAAATATATTCACTAATACCACCCAAAAAAGAATTATCCTGATAAAAAACAAAACTTGGCAGCAGAAACTCGCTAATATTAAAAACACAAATGCCACACTTTGGCAAACCTACAAAATCATCGGAGGCTCTAAAAACAAAGTCCCAGTACTACAGGACACAACGAACAACACCATTGGAGTACACAGATGAGGAAATAGCTAAAGTCCTTGCTAGAAATTTCGAACTGATTCACCTAAACGTTTATAACACTCACTTTCGCATAGAACAGAAGATAGAACACAAAGCCACAGTCATCAGAGAAATCTGTCCAACACATGGAAACTCACTATCCTGTACCTCTAAAGAAATAATTAAGAAATTCCCAAATAATAAAGCTCCTGACAAGATCACTGCTACCAGATTAAAAAACCTTCCCACTAAACCAATAATACAATTATATTCCATGTACAAAGCCTGTATTAAACTTGCCTATTTTCCAACAGCATGGAAGATGGCCAAGATCGTCCCAATTGGGGAAACCGTGCAAACCAGCAACATGTACAACCAGTTACAGATCAGGTTACAGCTTTTAAATATCCTAGGCAAGATACTAAAAAGAATCATATAGTCAAATTGCAAATCATAATCCTACAACAATTCGGCTTCAGACAAAACTCCTTTATTCACCAGCTACAACGTGTCACTGAATACATAATAATAGAAAGAAGAAAAAACCGAACCACACAACTTTTACTTTTCGATTTTCAAAAACCATTCGATTCAGTTTGGCATGCCGCACTACTGACGAAATTACACGAAATAAATATTTCAGCACCGATCATTAACATCATAACCAGTTACTTCCAGCAGAAATTTCTATGTCGCCATAAACGGATCCAAATCAGCAATAAAAAATGTCTTAGCTGGAGTTCCCCGAAGATTCTGGGAATTCTGGCATCTATTCCTCTTTGTCCTATATATCAACGATTTTCCTACACACCAAACACGTACACTGTTATCTATGCAGACGACGCCGCCACATACGTATCATCACAGAAACCTGAAAAAGCTACAACATAAATACAAGAACATATTAATATTTTACAAGACTATTTTAAAAATTGGAAATTAATAGTCAACCCAAAAAAAATACAAGTATTTACCACCAAGAAAAGTACCTTGCATTAAACACATCATAATGGAAGGTAAATCTATCCCCTGGACTCCACAGTAAAATACCTTGGTATCATTCTCGACACCAAAATCACTTGTGCTTCCGCAGTAGACAAACGAACACAACTAATTTACCCTGCACTTCGAAGACTCTACCCAATCATATCTCGAAATAGTAAACTTAAGACCAACAAACTCAACCTCTACAAATCACGCATAAATGTCCATCATTACGTATTAGAATCGACCAACATTTAATGTATTTACAAATTTGGTATAAAGAGATTATGTGGTGCTCCAAATTATATTTTTGCAGATCAAGAAATGGAAGAAAAACTTATACTTTACAATTTCACAGAATTTCATTAGAACAAGATAGACTTTTCACGCAATTTTGATGTAAAAATATCGAATATTGATGTAAAAGAATGTATGTCTTACATTGATGTACAAGAAAGTATGTATGTCTTTCTCTGATTCTTATTTGTGAGTGGATCATAGGATGAAATAATACGAAAATATTTGAACAAATACAAGTTTATAACGCTGATACTTTTGATTTCTCGCACTTTCACACTCACTCTTTGTAATTACACTGCAGTTTCTTCTCTACAACTGATTCCTTCGGCTATCGTCTTAAAACAAAAGTCAACACACCAGACACTACATAACATACATTCACACATGTAAAGCCAACATTCACAGTATTTTAGTCCTTGACCGAAACTGAAGAAGGCTCATGATGAATTAACAAAATATTTAAAGGGATATATGTTTCCGATTTCTTATTCAAAGCATTATACAAAGCTGAAGGGCAATTTAAGATTTTGTCATGTCTAATACCGTTCTATTCATGGAGAAACGAAGATATAAAAGACATAATATTTTAAATTTAAAATCAGGAAAAGGATTCTTAATAAACAATTATTTTTAATTCTTTTTATTACTATTCTTAACAAAACTTCTTATTTCTTGATATATATTTGTTTATTTTTTATAAAACAGTATAATAAATAAATAATATAAATTTTCTTACTTTTAAAGTTTTTTCTTTTTCATTTTAATTGTTTATCAAATATTTGAAAACAATTCTTTTACTAATTAAAAAATAACTCACTTCCCTCTGTAATTATTGATAAAGCAAAATGTTCATGAATTATGACTAATTTATCTAAAAAAATATCGTGAAACTCTTGAACGAATTTTGACAAAAGAAATAGAAAAGATGATATTATGTTTCATTTATACATATGTAGCATAGCTTCTTTTCATCTTAGTTCTCCTATTATTTTATAATGCAACCATAATAAATGAAAGAATATAAATAACAGCACTGACAATGAATGAAGTAATAGAATAACACTTTCCGTCATTAATAGTACGTCCCATTGGCTTTAATATTTATTATTGTACTTTTGTAACTGTTTCTAAATGCAATATTTATATTTCTATCACGAAGATTTATTGAAAAGAGAACTAACATTCAACAAATTATATTTATGAAAAGCGACGATATTTTTATTATTATTATTATTATTATTATTATTTGCGTGACTTTGTCAGTTGGTTTCTTCATATTCAATTAACGGATATGAGAGTTTAAAAAAATTATTTTTGTTTTATTTAATTTAAATATGAATAAGCACTTTCTTGACCAAAATATGAATTAAAATATGAATTAAAATATTTTTGATATTATTCAAATGATTTTATTTAATGCTATTTAAATTTTATTTAAATAAAAATTATATTTTTAATTATTGTTTATTACTTATTGTTTAAATAAAAATTTGCCCGAGAAATTTGAATGCAGGTGGTCGATACTTCGGGTCGAATTGAATAATTTTGGTTGAGCTTGGGCGGATTCGGAGACATATGAAAAATCTTCTAATTCGTCTACATAATATCGCTAGTTTAACCATTTCATCGAGTCGACGAACAGACAAGTAACAAAAACGTGGCAACAATGTGAGACTTAGTATTCCATAAATACTATTTTAGGTTGTAGAAAACTACGCTTTCATCAGTAAAACCGAAACTTGCCTGTGTCCCTTTAATTCGCTTTTCTTTTGCATTACGCACAATAGCGAAGACAATGAAAGGATGAAAGTATAGACTGACTACACCCTTACCGATTTCGGTGATTTTTGAATTGTGAAGGTATTTTGAAGTTTTTTTCAGTAACGTACAGTACAATTTTTTCCCTGTAACGAGTATATTGGACTTTGTTTGTTAGAACAAAGGATCGTCCAGGGTATCGATTTCTAAATAATATTTAGGGATCGTTGAAATTAGTGAAGGAGTGATTAATCTACAAATTCACCGGCAATCAGAATGGAGGAAAGTACGATTGAGGAACTTTAAATTTGTAAAATGTTAATACTAATTTATTAACAATTTATAACAATAAATGCTTTCGACCGTCAAATATACAACTCTCTTAGTGCGTCTTGATAAACAACATGGTACTACAAAAAAGAAAATATGTATGATACCATTTAAAAAAATATATTTGACTTCGAAATTTCGAAATGGATGAATTTTCAAGAATTTACAACACATAATATACTTTTTTCTTGCAAACAATATTTGTGTAAATATTTTATTGATCAACTTAAACTTTCATAAAATCGAGTTTGCAGGATAAAGATGATTCATTCGGGTTGTGAATTATACAAATCATATATCTAATTTGCGCTACATAAATTGATTTTGCGAGATATATAAGGATATATTTCATAGATATGTTTGTATTTTTCATTAAGCTTCCATATAAAATATTAAAGATTTACATTAACTAAATATGAAAATTTTGTTATTATCATAACATTTACAGGCAAAATTTAGAAAACTTTTGAATAATATTTTAATTAATAAACGTAATTTTTTGCTAATGAATTACAGAATTCATGTTATTTATCATGATCAATTCACTGCATAGTTATAATAAAATTGTTAAAAATTTAACATAAATTTGAATATGTAATATAAGAAATATAATATAAGAACCTCGTCTGTAGTCCAATCTATTCTCTTAGTCAATGGTAATAGTGATAGACTAATATAATAGTGATAATAGTGATGATTATTGTTATTTAATGATAACAGTTAATTATTAAGAATTTAGACCACTCATAACTCATGAAAAGTTGAATTATGGGTTATGAAAATGCATTACCGCTTATATATATATATATATAGACACACACGTATACACGATAAAAAAGGTATAATAGAAAAATATTTTTCCGCAAAGTGATAAAATCATAAAATTAAAACAAACATATATAATACTAATCAGTCTGCATATAGTAGAAAAATCGATTAGGGCTTGGAGAAAAGAAGAGGGATACAGATACACTGATGCTTAGAATGCCATAATTGCGTGGCTCACGGAGAAATTCGAAAGTCACCAGTCTAGACAAATATTTCTTATGGTCGTACATTTCCCATTTACCAATGGGAATATTTCCTTTCCATCTGTTTGTCAAATTATTGACGAGTAATATCGTGTTAGAGTCGAGAGAGATTTATTATAGGTAAGCAGGTTCTTAATCAACAAAATATATTAAATGCTAATTAATTTTCATTTTATTTGTATAAAATCGTATTACTTACGTATAATATTAAACTATACCATTTTCTCTACAAAATAACTAAATAAATAAATAAATGTTTATGTACCTCAAATGAAACTAATTTGTAGAGATGTCCATTAGTTTTATTATTTTTTGGTATTCCATAAATACTTCTCAGAATAAAATTTATAGATTAGTTATGTATAAATGTTTAAAATATATTTTCTTAAAAATTCAGTTTAATGCTATTGAATTGCACAAACATTTTGGCCGTAGAATGATAAGTAATTTAAGTCATTTAATTTAAGTAATGAATGTAATTTTTGTAATCCATTTTATATAATCGTTAAATAAAAACTAAACACTTCTTAATACATCTTACAATGTTTGATCAAGTTTAAATTACAAAAAAATATATTAAAAATGTATGTTACAATATTTTATTTGTTTCTGCATTTTTCGTTTCGTTTCTAAAGAAAAATAAACGCATGAAACAGCAATACTGTTCGTGAAAAGTCAACAAACCAGAGATAAAATTTGTATAAACATAAACATAATTCATATAGAGAAACTAGTTACTCTTTGTAGTATTATGTATTATTTCACAGATTGAATTGTATCATGGTGTAGAAACATTCTTTTTTACACAAAATAAACAAAACTATTTTTAGAAACATATTTTTTATCGGTAATGAAATATTGTAAATTAACTTTCATTCAAATGAAACTTTCTTTCGAATAAAGAAGCACGAGATACAATTCCATAAATATTCAGACAAATAAATTTTTGATTTTTGGAAAATTGTTGATATTTAACCAGAGATAATATTATAAAAAAATATCGATAGGTTTATTTTAAGGCATGATCTTTTATAATCCTGGATTTATATTTTTTAAAGATTTCTTTTTCATCATATAGAAAGTGGAAATGTACCTCTTTCAAAAATAATATCATTTTAAATATCTTCAAAAAAGTTAAGAAATTTTTTTCATGACTAATTTTTTTTATAACTATCCCAATTTCAGCGATTTAAACTTTTCCTTTACCACGATATCTTCAAACTGCATCTACCATCTTTTATTGCACTTTGAATATTAAGCTTAAGCGGCAAAATGACGATTTCTTAAATTTTTGTTGTTCAAAATTTATCGAAACAAATAAAAAATCGTACGTCAAATTCTGAAGGATTCAATTCGTAATAACTTCAATCATGGAAACAAGTTTTCAATATTTTTACAAACATTTGAATTTTCGAAGAAAAATATTTTCACTTTTCTTCGGCAACATTATGTACATACATCTTCGCAAAAATTAATTATGGTTTGTGAGAAGAAAAGTGAGTGCTTTAAAATCATCACACAATTAGATGAATTGATGTACGAATTTTTTTTCAAAATGCTATAGCAATATTCTCAGATTAAGTAAATCTCATAATGATTTTCAAGCGAGGTATTTTTTAAGTGATTCCAAACTTGTTAAATGCTGTTTCCCATTACTGTTCAGTATATGCTTTACATTTATACAAAGAACTAAAAAAATCACGATAAGTAAAAGTCTAAATAGAGATGCAAATAAAATATTTGTATCACAAATAGTAAATTGCGTCAAAAGTTGAAACTATAATTTCCAATAGGAGCTACATTTCAATTAATAATTGTTGTATTCGTTAATGTATGTTAGTCTCTTATGTACAGAGTACTTCAAAATTATATGTCACAATAATCCTGTGATTCTATCCTTTCACTTTGGTGGAGACATATACAAATAATTTGAGGAAAAAATTGACCTAAATCTTGAATTTCAAGGTTGAATCTTTTTATATTTGCACAGTATTCTACTTATCGTGAGGATCAAAATTGTCTAAAAAACGATGAGTCGCAAACAATCTCGTAATGTTCTTAAAGTTTCAATAACTGGTACATTGCCTTTGTTAACAATAAGTTTCCACTTTAATCAGATCAGAGCGTGTTATTAGCGATAAGGGAAAATCACATTTATATCTCAACATGCAAATACCTCGAAAAATTATGTAGTTACATTTTCAAATACAATATAATAATATAGTGCAGTATATAGCACTGTTGAAGGAAGAATTAGAAAATTGCTAAACAATTTAAGATAAAAGATAATCTGATAAATAAAACACCATCTGACATCTAACAAGCATGAAAGTAAACAGAGCAAAAAATTGAGCGAAGAAATATGATTTTGAAACGTACCATAAAAATTTAATTAAAATGTTTTCCAAATCAATTGTTTTCTGGTAGATTAATTTAGAGAATGGCGAGCTGAATCGATTAATGTATTGAAACATATAATTTTATTAAAAAAGCAAACCTGATTGTAGCGTGCCGATCTGGTTCTACGTATTTTCTTTCTTTGATGTACGAGCCGATCGATGGCTCGCTGCCTTCGACGTTAATGAAGTGCAGCAAGTTCAAAGTAAAGTTTGATTTGTGATATTGATTAAAGAGTGTGAATTGAATCCCTGGGATGCACTGGGTTTGAGGACGCGAACCGGCAAACACGCGGGAGGTTTTCTTGCTGACTTGAAAGTGTGAATAAGACTGTTCTATTTTGTTTCGGAGTCGGCTTTTATATATCCGAGCCCTCTTTGTTTCCTTTCCGATCCTGTGATTTTCCAAACATTTTCAGAGTCAGTTCCAAGAAATAAATTTGACAATTGCTTCTTGGAACTAACGGTTATATCTTCCGTGTCCTGCCGGTTTATTAGTGTCCTGTTTATGGTGGGACCGATGCGATAAAGAAACTCATCGAGCCCTGGAATTAAGAGTCAAATATGACTACAATACGGAAATGTCAGTTTGAAATATGAAATACGGTCGCGGGAGGTCCCTGCCGTAGAAAAATTACAAGACAGGAGTTTATTGTCCCTGGCTCGATGAATTTATTTGTCGCATCACATTTTGACCTTCATTGTGTTCGGTAAGACCGAACACTGATGTTCAAACGCTTTCTGTGAATCTACATTAAAACATAATTATATCAAATAATGTCTCTCTTGAAACTATTTAACATTTGGATATAATTACTCGCTTATAGTTTCTGATGAATCATCCGTAATATTTTATGTCATGTAAGTCACAAATGTCGTATAATTCATGATTTTTAAGCAAAATGTTTAAAATTGACATAAGTGACAGACTGGTAGAAGTCTGTTATATAATCTAAATTATTGTGAAACTCCATTTATATTAACTGAAGTTTATACAAGTATCGGGGTTGATTTAAAGAGCGCGCAACTGACATGACACAGTCTTAATGAACATTAGATTGAGACATGACAAGTCAAAGCAATTCCATGGGATCCACTTTGTAGATACATCAGGGTGCAAAACTTTAGTCTTCATAAAAATATAGTATCACTTTTCAAAACCCTACTGTCAATCCAAAATGGCACCGAAGTCGCTGCTCACATAAGGATTTGTCCGAAAATTCCACATACAAGTAGTTAGCATTCAGATATGAGACAAACTTCAACATATATTATCGCAACAAATTAAAGAGTGATAGCAAATCATTTTACTATTAACATCC